GGCTTTTTCATGCTTATACTATTGGATTTTTAATTTTTTTTAATGTAAATATTCCTTATTGGCAGCCTTTAAAACCATTAAATAATAAAAGTTAAGATGGCATATAGAGGGTATAGAAGACCTACATGGACAATTGTATTTACTGAAGTAAAAAAAATAAATAAATAACGTACATATATATATATATATATATATATATATATATATATATATATATATATATATGTGTGTGTGTGTGTGTGTGTGTGTAAATTGCAGATGTGGGCTTTTGTAGATGGTTTTCTGTCTGCCAGGGACATATATGTATTTTCTTTGTTGCAGCAAAAATTCATTGTGAAACTGTTTAATGCATGAAATGTAAAATGCTCCTTTCACGAGTAAGAAATCTTACTGCATAAGGTTTAATCTGTGTTTTTGTGTAAAATCTGTACCTTACTCTACATAAGTGTCACGCAACATTTAATGTGTTGACGAGAAACTGTTCCAAGGCATCATGGAAGTGATGGTTAGTTTGGGGGATGCACGTAGAGACAAGTCAAACACTTTGAACTCACACTGAGTCATATCCGAATAACTAAAGTCAGGGAATTTACTGAAAACTTGGCAAAACACCCCCCTTTCCCTCCAACTGGGTGGGGGGATTTGTCCTTTTTGCCTCAAGATCTTTGAGCTACAGAGATGTGCTCTAATTCAAACCATCTCTCATGGTGACAAAGGCCAGACCAGATTATTCCACTGAAAGCAGCTCTCACGTTCCAGAAAACATTAGTTTCAACTTTCTCTGGGTTTTATTCTTTTTTTTTTAAATCTTACAAGCTATTTTGATCCTTAAGACTCATAGTAAAATATTTCACTCTATCAATCCTTTTAATTTTTTTTTTAATATTTTGTATACAATTTAAATAAACCACAATGGACCAACAGAGTCTGACACATTTGTATCCCTGCTGAACAGGTGTATGGTTTCCCCTTTTGTACTGCAAGTTTCAGTGTAGAACTGTGCATTTCATGCGTATAGCTGCCTCTTTTGATTATGAATATTCTCTGTTTAATTGTCTGTGTGAACCAGCAACGAAACAGGTGGATTACCATTCGGTAGCTGGGAAACTGAAGCTACAATTGAAATGTGAAAGCAGGCGTACATTTGAACAGAGTTCTTTTATTATCTTGTTTCAATGCTTGCAAAAAACCATAAATGACTGTGAAAATAAAAGTTGATTTTACAACACAGAAAGATCACTGGCTTTGGTTTCTCCACACGTTTGCTGCCTGAAACATCATATTGATTGAAATTTTTTTCCCCAACCTTTTTATTTATTTTTTTTGATTTTTCGTATTGAAGTTTTAAAAAATAAATGAAAGAACACCGTTACAGAGGCTCTGCCCCGTTTCGACTACACAGACTGTATACAGTAACAACATGTGAACCTGCATGAATTATGCACACAGAAATATTATAACACTTAAGTGACTGCAGATACAGGAGTGGGAGGCAGAGAAATATGTGGCTAGTTTCAATGTTTAAATAAAGAGAGTAATAAAATCAAAACAACTATTCATCTAAAAAAAAAAAAAAAAAAAAAAAATTACACAATTGTGCTTTTCCCAAACCAGCGTGATCAACCTTCTGCTGAACTGTCGTGATGTGGAACCCTGGTCTGAAGACGAGAACATGAGGAGCATGACTGAATCAAATCAGGCTGCAGACCAGTTTACAAC